TGGCTGGGGCCCCTGTTGGGGCCCCAGTGTTGGGGGCCCCCTGGGGGCCCCCTGAAATGGGTTCTTGGGGGGCCCCTTGGTGGGGCCCCCATGCAGTTTCGGACATTTGGGGGCCCCCAAGGGGTACCTAAAGGACAACAGCCGTAGGGGCCCCCTAGGGTTTAGGGTTTAGGGTTTAGGGTTTGGGGGAGCGGGGTGTACAGGGGCCCCCAGACGCTGGGGCCCCAGAAAAGCCGCGGGCAGCTGGCTAGATAGCTTGCTGGCTAGCTAGCTAGCTAGCTAGCTAGCTAGCTGGCTAGCTAGCTAGCTAGCTGGAGGTGCAGAGACCTTCTGAGGGGGCCCCAGGAGGGAGCGGGGGGCTGGGAAGCAGCGCAGCAGCCCCGAGTAAACCCTAAACCCTAAACCCTAAACCCTAGGTCGAGAAAGGCGGCGGTGAGAAGGAAGGGTCTGGGAGAAAGGTGAGAGGCGGAAATATAGGCGAAAAACGAGGGTTTAGGGTTTAGGGTTTAGGGTTTGGCGGTGCTGGCGCGAGGCTCTGCGGGCCGACGGCGGCGGCGGCGGCCGGCGAAAGCTGGAGGTGGAAATGCTTTTTTGGAAAAAAAAGAATAAAAAGAAATAAAATAAAGAAAATAAAGAAAATAAAAGAAAAAAAAAAGAAAAAAGGAGAAAAAATGAAGCAGATTTGTTGTTTTTCGAAGCAGTGGTCCTTTGCGCCCACTGGACCTCCGAGCCCCTCAGGTGTACGTACACCCGAAACCCTAAACCCTAAACCCTAAACCCTAAACCCTAAACCCTAAACCCTAAACCCTAAACCCTAAACCCTCGACTTTAAAGCCTCATTTTGTATGCAGAGGGACAACTTGCCGAGACTGGAGAAAGCCCTGAAGCAGCCCGGCGCAACCAAACCCTAAACCCTAAACCCTCGACCCTGAACCCTAAACCCTAAACCCTAAACCCTCGTTCGTCTCAGCGCAAAGCAAGCAATCCGAGCAGCGAAGAAAAGCTGAAAAACTCGAAAATTAAATAAAAGATTTTAAGGGTTTTTAAATTAAATAATTTAATTTAAAAAATAAAAAAATTGAAAAATTCGAAATCGAGAAAACTGTCGATAGCCCTGGGTTTCTTGCCCAGTCATATTTATTTATTTTATTTATTTTATTCATTTTATTATTTTATTTTAATTAATTCTTTTTTATTTATTTTATTTATTTTATTTATTTTATTTATTCATTCTTCTCACCTCCCAGCTCCTTTTTCGATGTGCAAGAATATATTTCATGCAATAAATATATACATTAATATTTATTTATTTATTTACTTATTTATTTATTTATTTATTTATTTATTTATTTATTTATTTATCAAATAAAGTTATTTACAAAATAAATGAATAAATTCATTAAATCAATTAATCTACTTAGACCTTTTATTCCCACGTGGGTAAACTTCGGCGGCACTTTTTTTTCATTTTGAGGACTTTCTTTGCATTAAAATGCATTTTGAAAAGATTTAATTAATTTAATTGAATTCTTTTCATTAATTTAATTCAAAATGGCGTTTTTAGAAGAAAATAAAATTTAAATTTAATTCAAAAAATCCTTTTTGCAAAATTCCCAAATTCAACCCGCCGCGCGTTCGGGTGTACGTACACCTGGAGTCATCCCAGTGAGCTCTCCGCGAGGAAAACCCTAAACCCTAAACCCTAAACCCTAAACCCTAAACCCTAAACCCTACACCCTAAACCCTAAACCCTAAACCCTAAACCCTAGTTAGGCATTTCCTACATTTCTCTGTTCATTAAAATACAATTTAGTGCAATGGATTTCAATACTCTGAGCCAGGGAAGCGGGCTAGCTTGCGTAAACCCTAAACCCCAAACCCTAAACCCTAAACCCTAAATTCCAAACTCTGAACCCTAAACCCTAAACCCTAAACCCTAAACCCTAATCAGTTATCCAATACTGGCTGGAGCCTGACAACTGCATTTATGTATCCGACAGTAAAAAAAGGCAAAAAAGACAAAACGAAAAAGAAAAAAGAAATATAAAGAAACAAAAAAGAAATAAAAAAGAAATAAAAAAGAAATAAAAAGTAAAAAAGAAACAAAAAAGAAATTAGAAAAAATAAAGAAAGAAATAAAAAGAAAAAAAGGCAAGAGAAGAAGAAAGAAAACTGGGGACGAAGAAAAATAAAAAAATAAAAAAAGAAAAACAAAAAGAGATTTAAATGCAATTAGAGAAACAAATGGAAATGTAAAAAGAGAAAAAGGCCAACAAATAAAACACATTTAACTTATTTTTCAATAAAATAGAATTAATAAATGAATTAAAAATGAATTAAAAATGAATTAAAAATGAAGTGAAAAGGAATTAAAAGGAAATTTTAAAATGAATTTAAAATAAATTGTCAAAGAGAAATAAAAAGTTGTGAATAAAAAGAAAGATTTTGAATTTTATTTTTTGTCTATTTTGGATTTTTTGATTTTATTTTCTTTTTTGCTTTTTCCGTCTTTTGGGAAAAGTCTTCAAAAGTTCTTTTATTTGATTTTGTTTTAATTTTATTATTTGATTTAATTTCTTTCGTGGATTTAATTTCAATTTCTTTTTCCAATTTTATTTTATTTTCTTTTTCAAATTTTATTTTATTTTCGTTTTTTAATTTAATTTTATTTTCTTTTTTTATTCCAAATAAAGCAGTCGCGCACTTCGTCAGCCGCAGGCCCGTGTCAATTACTCTGCAAAAATAAAATAAAATAAAATAAAATAAAATAAAATTAATTTAATTTAATTTAATTTAATTTAATATTATTAAATATTAAATTAATATTTAATATTTAAATGTTTTTATATCAAAATGAAGCAAATTTAAAGAACAAATTAAGATAATTTAGAATCAAAAAAAAGAATTTTATTTCAAATTCAAAAATTAAATAAAACGAAAAATTTAATTCAAAAGCTCCAACGCGAAATGGCAAAGTGGTAGCAACTAAGGTATGAGTGATGTAATAAATAAATAAATAAATGAATGAATAAAAAGTAATAAATAAATAAATAACAAATAAATAAATAAACTAATAAGTAAACAAGCAAACAAACAAACAAACAAACAAACAAATAAAAAAATGTAAGTAAGTAAATAAATAAATAAATAAATAGAGTAATAAACAAACAAACAAATAATAAACAATAGAAAAAACAAACAAATAAATAAATAAATAAATAAATAAATAAATAAATAAATTAATTATTTTTTGGGAGCTCCTTGCCCCCGTTCGAAGACAAACCCAGGAGAATAACGCAAAGTAATAAATCATTTTAAAATCACCTCTTTATTTATTTGTTTATTTATTATTTATTTATTTATTTATTTATTTATTTATTTATTTATTTACTATTTATTTATTATTTATTTATTTATTTATTTATTTAATCTTACATTAAAGGCCCTCCTTTTTTATTTACTTCTCTTATGGAGACGCGGCCGCTGCTGTCTATACAGACCAAACAAATCCGCTTTCCTTCTTTTGGATCCTAAAAAGAAAATATAAATAAATAAATAAATAAATAATAAGTAAATAAATAAATAAATAAATAAATAAATAAATAATAGATAAATAAATAAATAAATAAATAATCAAATACTAAATAAATAAATAAATAGTCAAATAAATAAATAAATAAATAAATAAATAAATAAATAAATAATATGAATAAATAAATAAATAGATAAGTAAAAATAAATAAATATATTAATTAACCAGTTAAATAGTAGATAAATAAATAAATAAATAAATAAATAAATAAATAAATAAATAAATAAATAAATAAATAAATAAATAAATAAGCAAATAATAAAATAAATAAATACATAAACAATAATAAATAAATAAATAATAGATAAATAATAAATAAATAAATAAATAAACAATAAATACTAAAATAAAAACATTTGAAAACAAAAAGAACAGAAAATAAAAATAATTCGAAAAGGAAATGATTAATTAGAAAACATAAAAAGAAATAATTGAAGTCCGAAGAATTGGAAATTAATTTAAAATGAAAATAAAAGCAAAATAAATCGAAAATAAATCAAAATTGAGTTAAAAGTAAATTAAAATCTAAAACAAATTAATTAATTAAATTAAATTAAAAATGAAATAAAATAAAATTAAATTAAATTAAATTTAAAATAAAATAAAATAAATTGAATTAAATGAAATTAAATTACCAGCGAAAAAGCCTTCATGTCTTTTATGCGCTGCTGATGAGGAGACTCCAAGCAGCAAATTTCAGCAGCAGCAGCAGCAGCAGCAGCAGCAGCAGCAGCAGCAGCGGGAGCAGCAGCAGCAGCAGCAGCAGCAGCAGCTGAGGTGTCTGTACACCCCAGAGACAGCTGCTGAATGGAACCCTCGGAAGTCCCCAAATAAATTTTGTCTCCGCCGAAGCAAAAACAACACCCTAAAAACAAATAAATAATAAATAAATAAATAAATAAACAAATAAATAAATAAATAAAAATAAATAAATAAATAAATAAAAATAAATAAAAATAAATAAATAAATAAATAAATAAATAATTGCGAATGGGGCTTTATGTGATGTATAAATAAATCTACAAGTTCCTAAACTTGCAGCAAAACAAAGACTGCTGCTGCTGCTGCTGCTGCTGCTGCTGCAGCTGCTGCTGCTGCTGCTGCTGCTGCTGCTTACATTTGCTGCTGCTTCTGTGTTCATTTTGCTGCTGCTTGACAGATTTGATTTCTTTTTTGATTTCTTTTTCTTCATTTAAAAATTTAATTAACAAAAAAGAAGAAAACAAAACCACAAAATAAAACCCGCAGGGAGACCAACTCACCCCCACAATGCCTGCACGCAAACCCTAAACCCTAAACCCTAAACCCTAAACCCTAAACCCTAAATCCAAACCCTTAAAGAATTGTGGGGTTTAGGGTTTAGGGTTTACTGTCGGGGAAGTGGAAAACAGCTTCTAAAGAACATTTC